CGTCTCGAAACTGTCCTCTGCGCAGCTGATCTGCACATGGATATCTTTCAAGGTCAGGGTTCTGTGTCAATATCATCAAACTGACATGCCGCCTTGGAAAATCATCACGAAAACTGGAATTTAGAGAACCACCCCGCTCCAAAACTCTACATCCGAAACCCTGCCTTACATGCCTTACATGCCTGAAACCTGCAAGGACCGAGGCACCTTCGGGCACAGCCGGATTCTCGAGCTGTCGCACAATCTCCTGTTTAGGGTTTAGGGTTTAGGGCTAGGGTTTCGGGTTTGGGGTTTAGGGTTTAGGGTTTTAAGGGTAGGGTTTAGGGTTTATGGGTTTGGGGTTTAGGGTTTAGGGTTTGGGATTTTGTCTTTGAGGCTTGGGACCTGGAGTATGGGAGCGCTGGGAGCTTGAGGTTGGGGCTGCGCAACCACCACAATCCATCCTAAACCCTAAACCCTAAACCTAAACACTAAAACCCTACACCCTACACCCTAAACCCTCAACCCTAAACCCTCAAACCCTCAAGCCTAAATTGGTCGCAGCTTGCGCCTCGAACCTGCCTTAGGGCCTCAGCAGTGCCGTAGCCCGGCTGCTACAGGTTTAGGATTTACAGTACTTGGAGGTCCATGGCTAGTTATAAGTGGGGTTATAAGTAGGGTAACTATAGTTATAACCCAAATTATAACCCCACTTATAACTACCCATGAACCTCCAAGTAAGTCCTAACCGAGGACTACTGAGTGACTACTGACAACTGACTACTACTGCCGCTGCTACTGCTACTGAGGATTTGCTTTTGTGGGGGTTCAGGGCTTTGGGTTTGGGGTTTTGGGTGTGGGATTTGGGGTTTGGGGGCTATGGGGTTTGGTGTTTTGGGTGCTCGGGGCTGCGGGTTTGTCCAGAGGAATAATGCACTGCACAGGCTATTAGGTGTGATGTTCTATCTGCCAATTTCTGTGGGCTCCTAAACCTGAGAAGGTAGATCGGCCGAAAAGGGAAACTAAAACTGGAAGCAGGGGACGTAGCAAGCAAGCAACCCTAGTTGCAACCCAGTCCCACATACCAAAACCCGGCATCATCCATGCCATGCCCTACGAGTACTCAAAAACCCGCGACCCTACGACCACGAATTACCACACCCCGTGAACCCTGAAACTCAAGAAACGTGCCCATCAAAAAAAAGCCACCCAAACCCCCAAACCCTGACTATAATATACGAAAATAGACGAAAATCTCCTACAATATACTATGATATGCTGTACTATATTATAGTATAAAAGCTCCAAATCCCAAATCTGATCTCTGCTATCCAGCTGCCGGCTGGCGCTGCAGAAGTCTCTCGGCGCACTCACCTGAGCTTCAATACGCTTTAGAGACTCCAGGGCTTAAAGTTTAGAGACTTCAGGGCTTAAAGTTTAGAGGAGGAGACGATACGAGAATGTCGCAACGTGCTAGATCAGGATCTAAGGGTCCGGGTGTCAAAAATCGACGCACCCAGCAAAGACATGGCCCTTTGTGGGCTGAACCATGCAGCCCTTTTAGGGTTTAGGGCTTGGAGTTTAGGGTTTAGGGTTTAGGGCTTAGGGTTTAGGGCTTTGGAGCTATTCCAATCAAGAGCGACTCACATCTCCTTCAGAGTTCGAGTCTGGCTTCGTGTTACTTTTGTTGCAGCCCTGCATGGATACAAGCTACACCCTAGACCCTAAACCCCTAAACCGATATTAAGGTAACTACTGCCTGCGAGCCTCGACAAAGACACCTCACACAAGTACGGAAGCAGAGAGAAAGACTGAGATCACAAGCCTCGTACGTAGACCTAGTTAAACGTCAACATGCCAAACTCTCCGCTTCCGACGAGTCACGCCACACCGTCGTGGCTTGCTTCGCCACCTGAGTTCACTAAGAAGCCACCTGCCTGCTGAGCTCAGCAGGACAAAAGCAGCGCCCGCGCTCTCTGCCAGAGTCGCAAGGCACCTGCAACACCCTCTCCACCAACGCATCCACCAAGTCGGTCATGTCCTGGTGAAACCCACGTTTGGGTTTCCCTAAACCCTAAACCCTAAACCGTAAACCGTAAACCCAAAAGCCCAAATGGCCTGGAAACACCAAAAAGCGCCACAAAAAGAACAAGTCTGGAGGTCTGCGGAACGCTAGAACGAGGCCCTTCCCTTTCCTGGGCTGGGCTTGTGACTGGGCTGGCTCGGCTAGGCCGAGATGGGTGACTGCAAGTTTTGACCGAAGGTTAATCCTAAACCCTGAACCTTGAACCCTAATAAACCCTAAACCCTAAACCTTGAACCCTAATAAACCCTAAACCCTAAACATTGAACCCTAATAAACCCTAAACCCATTGACCCAAGGTTTGGTGGAGCTTTTCGGGAAAAGAAAAACATCGACAAAATCGGCCTGGTTACTCGGCCCGGGCTGGGGTTGGGATTGCAGCTTGGGACTGTGCTCGGTTGCTGGGCCGACGTGACTGGGGTTGTAAGAGCTGGTTTAGGGTTTAGGGTTTAGGGTTTAGGGTTTAGGGTTTGGTCACGAAAACATAGAACTGTTTTCTATTTTCGTCTTGAGGGGTTTTGGCTTAATCATGAAGCCTCTGACAACCCAACAACTCCTTGCCTGCTTCTCCTCAAAGATCCCAATGCCCACCCGTGTCGATTGACAGTGTATGAGTATGGGGTTCGAAATGTGTATGTGAGCGACTTGCCCTTTTTTACTAGCCTTACTCCTTCGAAGCCGCCCATCCGAACCTGCAAGTGGATCAGGTCTCTTGCTGTCTATGCAAGGGTCCTTGTCCCCGATGAAGATGCGCTTGCCCTCCCTTCTGCAGCCGTACGCCTGGCTTCAGCAGCTGCAACTTTAGGTTCGCGGATGCTGCTTGGGTTTAGGGTTTAGGGGTTTAGGGCTTAGGGGTTTAGGGTTTAGGGTTTAGGGTTTAGGGTTTAGGGTTTAGGGTTGGGGCGGGGTGAGTTGATTAGGGCGCCCTAAACCCTAAACCCTGGGCTGCGGATGTATGATTCGGGGTCGGGGCTTCTGCATGGGATTCGGCCTCTAAACCCTAAAACCCTAAAACCCTAAACCCTAAACCCTAAAACCCTAAACCCTAAAACCCTAAACCCTAAAACCCTAAACCCCAGTGTGCTCAGGGTTCCGGGCCCGACAGGCGACAGTGTCTCCCCCCCCCCCCCCCGCTCCTCATACTCCTCCGCCTCTGCCGTCCTGGACATCCACAGCGGATAGCCTTGCTTTGCAGAGCTCTTGTTAGGGGATTGTATTTTAAGTTGCAATAGTAAGGAAACCATGTAATGTACTATAGATCCCCACTATGGCAACTTAAATAAACCTCTTAACATGAGCCCAGGCTTTGCAGAGCTCAGAGTTGCAGCTACCCTAGACCCTAGACGCCAGAAAGGCCAAGACCTTGAACCCGTAGAGGGCTTTTTGCAGCGAAGCCACCGCGTTGGGCCGACCTCGGCAAACAAGACAAACGGGTTCAAAGCTCATCCGATGCAAGGGATCGCGGCTTAGTAGGGTTTAGGGCCTTTCGGGGTGTAGGGTTGAGGGTCCAACCTTGCTGTTGCAATGCCGAAGGCACAATTCCAAAACACATCAAGGTTTAGGGTTTAGGATGTTTAGGGTTTAGGATCCAAGATGCATGATGTGCTCCGCGAACTTCTCGTCGCTCCAGGCGTCCGACGTTCCTGTCGTCGCCTCCCCGCATCACGAGATGACTTCCCAAAAGGGACTAAGCTTCGGTGAGGTCTTTGTTATGCAGAGTTCCACGAGGAAATTTCCACTAGATACAGCTTCATATCCCTAAACCCTAGACCCTAAACCCTAAACCCGAGACCCTAAACCCTAGACCCTAAACCCTTAACCCTAGACCCTAAACCCTAAACCCTAAACGGATCGCAAAGGCTTCTCCTAACAGGTGCTGTGGTGTGTCTTCATTCGCGTGTTGGCTGCCTCGTGGCTGACGTTGCGTCGAACATCGTCGGACCGATGCGTCTTCAAGAACAGGTGCCACAGCCTCAAAGACTCGGCTTCAGGGCTTTAGGGTTCAGGGTTTAGGGAGTTTTGGGTTTAAGGAGTTTAGGGTTCAGGGTTTTGGGGAGTTTTGGGTTTAAGGAGTTTAGGGTTCAGGGTTTAGGGAGTTTTAGGTTTAAGGAGTTTAGGGTTCAGGGTTTAGGGAGTTTTGGGTTTAAGGAGTTTAGGGTTCAAGGTTGTGGGCTCATCGTCTGCTCCAAGTTTGACAGCTTGATCCCGAAACAAGTCGAACCGACACACAGTGCAGCTACGAGCCCAGAGTTCCGGAAGTGTCGGACGCATCACTCATGGGTCCAGCCAGGGTCTGCAAATCCACTGCTTTGGGAGTTGACGGTTGAGGCTAAGAAGATGCAACCCACCACACAGAAGCGAGAATTCGGGATTGTCCAATTTTAGGGTTTAGGGTTTAGGGGATACATGACTTCTGATACTTCCCCATGTGGGCAAAAACATCGATCATGCATGCCGCTGGGTACGCTTGTTTGTAGATGTTGAAGCAACACTCTGGCAAGCGCATCCCCGTCTTCGCGTGTTCAGGTTTAGGGTTTAGACAGTTTCGAGTTTAGGGAATTAGGGCTTCTTGTGCACTTTAGACCCAAAGGCCTCACACCTTCGCTCCCAACCATGCCAGGACGGCTTGCTGCCGGGCTGCTTTACTTCTCCACTGAAATGGACAATGCCGATGTCCTCCCATCACACTCCACGGATCGGTGAGATTGCATAGAACACATGAAGATGAATGCATCGTGTTGAAGCGATTGAAAGCCCGTCGTTTCCCGCGAAATGCGATCGCGCATCTCTGATGCTCCGCTACCGGGTCACTGCACACCCGGACAGGGACAGTCTCTGGGTCTGTCAGGTCTGTACACATGGCTGCCCGGTGCACTGCAAGGGCCGGGAACGAAGGCCAAGTGCAAACAAAATTATTTCAAAGAGCCTCATTTCGACTCTAAGCGGGAGCATTCCGGACAGGCCTGGCGCGAGTTGGGAAGCGGCCTCGCCGGTGGTAACCCTTGCGGGAAGAGTTCAAGACGCTCTGCCGCAGCCAACGGCACAGCTCCAAGGGAGCCACGCGCCGGACGCCGAGGGTGTCGAAGTAGGCCTCCCAGCTGCTCACCTCGCAGATTCTCCGCACCGCCCGGTGCACCGCCTCGATCTGGTCCTTGGGTGCTACCCCCTTGGTCCGCTCATAGCGGAGCAGCGCCGAGTTGGCGCCCTCCTCCCCAGTCCTTGCGACGTTCTTCAGGAACCAGGCGTTGAACATGATCAGTCGAAGGGAGACGAGGGCTTCCTGGAAGCTGGCCCGGAGCCGCTCTCGGCTGATGCCCACATCGCTCAGCTGGCCCAAATGCGGGTGCTTCTTCAGGAGCCAGAGGACGTTTCTGTCGAAGACCTCTGCAAGGAGGGGCTCTGCAACCGACTGCCAGTCGTGCTTCTCAGATGCCGAAATCAGGCAGATGAATTCCCCCAAGTTGGGGACCTTCGACTTCACCCTCTCTTCCTCGGCTGCCACGAAGTCGCTTATGCGCTTCTCGAGCTCTGTCTGCACCGCCGGCTCCTCGCGGCAGATGGACAGCAGGAGGTGGTGGAAGCCCATGTAGCCGCTGAGGGCCTTCTGCGATGCCCAGGTCTCACCTTTCATCAGAAGCACCACCTGGGTAGTTGTCTAAATTAGGGTCCCTTATGGTCCCTTTTAGGATCCTTTTTATAAGGGTGCCATACTATATTGGGGACCAAAAAAGGGGGCCCTAATTTAGAGAGCTACCCACCTGAAAGTTCATCAGCTTCGGAAGCTTTCCGAAAATTAGGGTACCTTATTTCAGGGTCCTTATAATAATGGGGATCCTAATTTAGACTATTTGGGGAACTATATTAGGGTCCCCTGTTTTCGGAAACACCCGACCTGGGAGTTCATCAGCTTCGGAAGCACCGAAAGCACCACTTTTGGGTCGAAGCTCGGCAGGGTCCCGGCCCGGAAAGCCTCGAACTCGGCCTTTACCGCCTCCGACTTCGTCACCTGGGCTCTTCGTTATAGGGTTTAGGGGTTTAGGGGTTTAGAGTTTGGGGTTTAGGGCTTAGGGTTCTTGTTAAGGGGTGTAATTTAAGTTCCTATAATCGGGATCTATAGCAAACAATAGGGCTTCCTTATTATGGTAATTTTAAACTAAATCCCTTTCAACAAGAACCCAGTCGCCCAAAGCTCCAGCAAGGCATGGAAGCCCGGAGCTGGGTTGGGCTCCGAGTTTTCTTCAACGCGCCGCCGCTTTGGCCCGAAAGAGCGCGTCCTGGGCTCGTGCGTAGGGGCTTGCAAGGAAGTTTTTTTTATGTGCAAGGTTGAGGGAACTGACTCTAAGTAGGAAATCACACCAATCACTATCCATGTGTCTGAAGACAGATGGATAGATGGATAGACAGATTGATTGACAGAGCGATGGCTGGCTGGCTGGCTGCCTGGCTGGCTGGATGGATGGATGGACCGATGGATCGACCGATCGATGGATGGAGGGAGGGAGGGACGGACAGCAAACAGACGGTCGGACGAAAAGACAGACGGACGGACGGACGGAGGGGAGGGGAGGGGGAGGGGGAGGGGAAGCGAGGGGAGGGGAGGGGAGGTAGACAGATAGACGGATATCAGATATCCCCATTTTCGTATCTTCAGTTATGTTCCCTGATAAAGAGCCCAGCATCTGCTCGGCCACTTTGCCGGTGCCCAGCACTTGGAGGACTTTGCTCAAGGAAGGCTTCGCCCGGTGGAAATGCAGGGCATCGATGGCCAAAGGTAACCAGTATGAGATTTGGTTTCTCCAGACGCCTTTGCGAACACCGAGTTGGTGGAAAGCCAGCTGCGAGAGCGGATCGAAATCGCAGGTCAGGTGATACCGGCCGTCCTCCTCCGTGATACCAACACCCACGCCAAGGATGCAGCCGTCTTCATCGAAGCGTGTGCGGGTATGGAAGCAGCAAAGGCTCCGCAGGTCCCAGAAAATGTTCGAAGCCTCCTCTGACATAGCTCTCAATGATCTTGATGCATGAGTCAAGTGACCCAAGTCTGCCAGGTTTAGGCTCTGCAGCAGCACGCGCGCGAAGAGCGGCTTCGGCAACGCAGACAGGTTGCCAGGGAGATGAGTCTCGTCGATGCTCGCAGTTTGGGCCTCTCGCACAGCCACCTCGTTGCCGCCTCGCTGCCAGAGGTGCACCAAACCCGCTTCTGCCCCGATGTCCACGACGATGCCGTGGGCCTGCATCCCCACAACCACACCAGTCACTTCAGTGCCAGCAGCCTGCCAGGAATTGAGCTCCAGCTGGGAAGCCGGGGGGTGGAGCACCAGATCAACTCGCCACTTCTCCTGAGCTGCGGTCCAAAAGCCACCCAAGTGTCCATCAAGCTGCTATCATGAACAGGCCCCTCCTGCACAGCAGCTACGAGTAAGATCAGAAACGACGGGGGCGAAAGAAGGCACAGAAGAAGGAAAGCCTCCAAAAATCTCCGGCTGGTTTCCGGCTCCACCGAGGCCACAAAGGCTTTCACGCCGTCGCCGACCTTCGAAACCCCTAAACCCCACAACCCTAAAACCCTAAACCCTAAAACCCTAAACCCTAAACCCCTAAACCCCTAACCCCTAAACCCTAAACCCTATAAACCCTGAACCCCTGAACCCCTAAAACTTCCGAAACCCCTAAACCCTGTCGCCGACCTTCAGCTCGCGGCCCCGAGCCTGGCGACAGTGGAGGAGACCTTGGCAACGGCAGCCGAAGCCGAGGTCCCGGTGCCTGGGCTCTTTCTTCCGGTACGGCCGTGGAGAAAGCTACAGCGTAGGAAGTCGGATGTAGCTATATTTATATGATAAATACATAGGTACATATATATATATATGCATGTGCATGTGTATATATATATATACTACAACATATATATATATATATATTTATTTATTTATTTATACTTATATTTATATGTAAATGTATATTTATATTTATTTCTATGTGTATATATGTATATGTATATGTCTGTATGTATGTATGTATGTATGTATATATGTATGTATGTGTGTATGTGTGTGTGTGTATGTGTGTGTATAAATATATACATACATATATATATGTAGTTGTTTATCTATTCATTCGTTCATTCGTTTATTCATTTAGTTGTGTATTCATTAGTTTATTAATGTATTCATTTAAATGTATTTACTTATTTGCCTGTTTATGTAATTATCTACGTCTCTACTTGGTTATTCATTTATCTACCGATCTACTTTTCATTTCTTTGTTGTGATATTTATATGCATGTCATACCTACATTTACATTGCAACCTATATTTCCATTTACATTTACGCTTATGGATAAACTTGAAACAATAATTATGTTTATAATTGTATGATGATATTGGTTTGTATATTTACCTACACATTATTGGTTTACATATATATATATACATACACACACAAGAGTTAAAAGCGGCAACAGAAGCTGAGTTACCCCTGTAGGAAAGCATATTCTGTCCTGCATCTCCCTCCTCCCGACGATCGGTAACTTAAACGAAGAGCCCGCTCTAACCGGCGCCCAGCTGCCGCACCACCCGGCCCTGCACTTCGCTGCCAACTTGGAGCTGCGAAAGGGGCCATCTTCTGGCCCTGGCAAGGGGACGTGGAAGGTGCACTGGGTGCATGAAGAGGGAGCTGCCGGTGCTCCGATGGGTTTCGGAGCTGGGCTCCAGCAAGGTGCTGCAGCTCCCGACCTCCGAAAGCTGCAGGTGACATTCGATCGGCTTTTTGGCCGGCGCTTGGCAGGCTCGCGCAACGGCGACTGTGTGGCTCTTCGCTGGCTCCTGGCTCCAAGGAAAGGGACCCGGCCCAAAGTGCGAGGCCGTGACTGTGAGGGATTGGCCGCCCTCCGGCGTCACCTCCATCCTGCCGTCCGCAAGGACCCTGTCGATGCGGAAGGTGATTCCATGCGCTTTCGGAGTGTCCCCCACCAAGTGGATGCCAGGAATCCGGAGCGTGCGAACCTCGACTTCGGGCCACGGCTTGGTCCCACAGTGTCCGCAGCTGCACGTCAGGGCCGCGGCCTCCTCCTGCGCGCGCTGCAGGTGCTGCCGCACCTCCTGGGCACTCCTTCGGTGGCCGCCCTCCTCAACGACCGCATCCCACAAGGTGTGCTTGTAGCGGCCGTCGTAGTTCTGTGCCCACTCATCAAACAAGAAGCACTGTATCTGTAGGAGGATGGATGAAACACTGTAGGCAGTGCTCCATCCCTCATAGGGTCTGCTACTGTCCTCGCCGCCCATCCAGAAGAAGTTCTTCAGCATGTCGATGCAGATGAAATTCTTTTCCTGGTCCACGGACGGGATGACGTTGGAGTGGGGGATGCTGGTGCAGAGCCGCACCTTCGGAGGATCCGTTGGGTAGCTGTCCGGGAAGGTCAGGACCACATGTAGCAGCAGCCCTGCATAATGGCCAGACTCGGGCGCGAGGTTGGCATGCCACTCCTGCGGTTCTCCTAAACCGCAAAACTTAACTAAAGAGATACCATAAATATACGGACAACTTATCTTGGTAAGTGACTTGATCAAGCTCCCTTTAACAGCAACCCGGGCTCCTGCTGATTCTCTGCAAGCGGTGCAGCTGCAATCCCTGGGAGGGGATGTTCTCGGAGCTCTCGCCAGTCGGCGCGGAGGCGGCGCAGCGCCACGGACTTTTGGAGGCTCATCGCCATGGGATGCCGGGGTGCAGAGGACATCTTGGGCCGGGCTCTGTGTTGGTCATCGAAGAGTTTCCGAAGGGGCTTAGGGTGTAGGGTGTAGGGTTTAGGGTTTGATTCGCAAGCACAGCCTATGATTTGGACGAAGGGCTGCATGTGACCGAAGACGGGGTAAGTGCCCGAGGGCGCAGCAAGGGAATGATGGGTCACGGAGTCACGGACGCACAGACCCACATCGTGAATGCTGTGGCAACAGCACTCCAAGCTTCTATCGCGGAGGAACAATTTCAGCTTGGGTGTTGGGTGGGGGAACCTCACGAAGGAAAATTCCGACCGTGCAATACCTTCTAAGAAAGCGCGCCAGTTTGCGGCTTGCGGCCTGCCTTTTATGGGCTCTGAGAGCCGAAAAAACCTAAACCCATAAACCCTAAAGGCCTAAACCCCTAAGAGACTCGAAAACAGCCACCTCCAGACCCATGCGCATCCGCTGCGGCATCCAGTCAAGATCGGCCTGGCTGAACTCCTGCGGAGGAGGGCTTCAGAGGAGCTCCGGGGTTTACAGGCTTTAGGGTTTTAGGGTTTAGGGTGTAGGGTTCTAGGGTTTAGGGTTTGAGGGTTTAGGGCTCTAGGGTTTTTAGGGCTTTAGGGTTTTAGGGTTTAGGGTTTTAGGGTAACTTAAGGGCTTTTTTGTTAGCTTGGGGATTTGCTGAGGCTCTGCATCGGGATTAGGGTGATTGGGGCTCGCTGGAGGAATGTGGGGACTTGACAGAAAGTGGCTATAAGTAAGCTCAGAGGTGTTGTGCCCCCAAGTTGGGTTAGCATAGCCCCCACTGTACTAAGTCTACTGATCATCTTAGTCAAGGGCTTGAGGGCTTTTGCATGTAGGGCTTAGGGGGTAAAGGGGGGCTTTTGCTTGGCGGATCCAGCTTTAAGGGAACTGGTGACTTGGTTGCCAACTCTATACTTGGGCTTGTTGTACCTGCCCTGATCCTCGAAGTACCGATGCTTCAATTGCCCAGCCTTGCCAGAGGTAACCATGAAACGGTGCCACTCGATGACGCCTTCACCAGCACCGCATCTTTAGCTTCGGGGTCCGTTCTCTCAGCGCTCGCGCCGCTTGCAGCTGAGGCACGCTCAACAGAGAAGAGCGACTGATGCAGCTGGTAGTTCCAGGCAACGCTGATCTGATGCCTGGAGGGGGGGTGATGCGGGAGAGGCCAGCCCGATGAATAATACACACGAAAATCCTAATTCCAATGGTTAAGGCTCTGATGGCTAGGGCTTTCGGGGTTTAGGCTTTTGTGGGGTTCAGGGCTTTCGGATGCCCAAGGTTGCCCAAATGCCGATGAGGAGCCACGGAGAGTCCCTCCTTGAAGCGAAGAAGCGCGACAAGTAATCCTGTTCGGGCCCGTTCCCTGCGATGTGGCAGGGATGGTTCTTGCCTCAGACGCACTTGTTAAGGAACTTACTTCAGTCAACACATTCGGCATATAAATCATATAAAGGACCTACAGTACTTCCAGCGCACAGGCTGCATGTTACGCACATGTCACTGGGTGAATACATGAAGCACACAGCCTGCAACATAAGGAAACTAGGAAATTGTCACACACATGTTGCCTGTTCGCACTTCGAGCACGCATGCAACTTGCACAATCACGGAACTGTCGCGCACATGTTGCTTCTTCTTACTTCGAGCACACACACACACACACACCCNNCCTGCACGGTAAGGAAACTGTCACACACATATTGATCGTTCAAACTTCGAGCACGCAACCTGCACAAGCACACAACCGGCACGCTAAGGAAACTGTCACACACATGTGTTGCTTGTACTTCGAGCAAAGGCCCCATGCACAGTAAGCAAACTGTGACGCGGATGTTGTTTGTTCGTTCTTCGTGCACCCAGCCTTCACGGTAAGGAAACTGTGATGCACATCTTTCTTGGCAAAATTTTCGAGCATGCCAGGTAAGGCAACTGTCGCACACATCGTGTTCGTGCACACAGCCTGCACGGTAAGGAAACTGTCACGCTCATGTTACTTGTTCGCACTTCGCGCACATCCCACCTGCACGGTAAGGAAACTGTCACGCACATGTTGCTTGTTCACAGTTTGAGCAGATTTTCCAATAGCGCAAGGAGGAACATGTCACGCACATGTTGCTAGCTCGCAGTTCGAGCATACAACCTGCACAAGCACACAACCTGCAATGTACGGAAACTGCTGCGCACATGTTGCTTCCTTAGACTTCGAGCACACCTTCTGCAGGATAGGCTAGCTTTCAGGCGCATTTTGCTGGGTTCGTACATGGACAACCTGCAGGTAAGGAAACTGTCACGCACATGTTGTACAGTGTCACGCACATGTTTCTTGTTCGCACTTCGAGCACACGTGCAACTTGCAGGAAACTGTCACGCACATGTTGCTGGCTCGTGCTTACGAACATACTGCTTATACTTACAAACATGCAACATGAACAGTGAGGAAACTGTCATGCAACATGTTGCTTTTTCATGCTTCGAGCACACCTCCCCCTGCATGGTAAGGAAACTACCACGCAAAAGTTATTTGCTCGTTCTTCGGGCACTCAGCCTCTCTTGTGTGTACTTCGAGCACACAGCCTGAACGGTAAGGAAATTGTCACGCACACATTGCTGGTTTGTACTGCAAGCACACATTCTGCAGGCTAGGCTAACTTTCATGCGCATCTGGCTGGGTTTGCACATAGAGCACAGAACCTGTATGGTAAGGAATTGTCACGCACATACTGTTCGCTCGTACAGTAAGACTCTTTCCCATGATACTTACAGCAGGTTTCCGTAACAAGAGCCCCAACGGTTCTGAAAGCCGACGCAAAGTGAAGGAAAGCTGAGGATGCCGCAGGTCACCTGTCACGGTTTAGGGTCTATCCGATTTTGGGATTAAGCTTTTCGGATGTTTTAAGTCAAGTGCAATGGGCCCGGTGTTGTGTAGAAGAGCTCGAGAGCTCTAGGGTTGAGGGTTTAGGCTTTAGGGTTTCGAGTTGACGGTGTAGGGTTTAGCGTTTAAGGTGTATAAGGGTTTAGGTTTAACGTTTAGGGTGACTTCGAGAATCTTCCAAGCTTTGACTGATCAGGGTATGTAGTAAATAGCCCAGGACAAAGGCTTTACTTACCCAACTGAAGGTTGAAGTACTTACAGCCCCCAAGACCAAGCCGTAAACCCACAACGCTAAGCCCTGAAGCCTTGCCATAGTTTGGGACTTAAGCACTCCACCCTAAACCCTAAACCCTAACCCCTAAATACCCTCAACCCGAAACCCTAAACCCAGCCCCACCTCCAAATTCATCTGCCGGAAGATCTCAGCATCAGGCTGCAGAAGTATCACGCCCGCGTTGATGCCGCCCGTTTGCCCCCAAGGATACTCCTGCACGCCGGAAGAAAAGGCAAAAAAAAGAAGGGATGGTTTAGGGTTTAGGGTTTAGGGCAAAAAACGAAGAGAGGGCACAAAAACAACAAGGCAAAAGGGGCTCTGCGTCTTCTTTTGACGGGGTGATGAACACCTGGCGGATATCCCTAAAGACACCCTGACAATGCCTTGAGAAAACTGCTTGAAACCCTCATACCCCAAAAAAGCCTGAGATGACTTCCAGACCTGAAAACCCAGGATGGTTTTGTTTGAGCGTGTGCAATAATAGCGGAAAAACAAAGGGTACTAATGGCATACTCTTTGGCTTTGGGAAGTCCTGGTGGTCTCCCCCGGCGAAGAATCTCCTCCCGTCCACCTCCTTGCCATGGTCGTTCTCCTGGGCACAGGGCTGGTGCTCATAGAAAAACACACAAACAATAGCAACAGCCCAACAATCCTGACAACAATAGCAACAAAAAGCAATCATAACAGATACCAACCACGAAAAGAATGAGAACGTGAAATGGCACCGCTAGCATGACACAGAAAAATTTGGGCTGCAGCCTTTGTAGGGTTCCGGGCTCAGGGCTCCGGGTTCAGAACTTCGTAAAACCCATGCACCAGGAAGGAGATGGAGGATTAGGGTTTAGGGTTCAGGGCCCCCAGAATGCCCATGAGCATTCAGGGTGAACAGCCGTAGGAGTGCCTGGCTTGGGAATGTCAGCAGATCTTCCCCACTAGTAGTGTCGCTCTGCTTCCCCAGAACCGCGCCTTTCAGATGGATGCTTTTTCAAACTTACCTTTTCGAACTTACCATAGGGGCCTTAATAATTGGAACAGGGTTGTGGGGCCCACTATACCATACTTATAATACGGAACCCCCAAAATAGTATTGGTGATTATTTAGGCCCCTGTATTACATGCTGGGGATTTTCATTGTGGCTTCTGGTTTAGACACCAGGCTAAGAAACTGAAATAACAGCCTCTGGGGCATGAATGGAAGCTCAATTACACTGAAACTTAGAGGCCCTAGGCTGGAAGGGGAAACAACAAAAACAAATCACCCACGCAAGAACACAACGGGAATGATAAGGTTAAACTAAGAGCGACCATGTTAGCACGAAGGCGAGGATAATGATACTACCAGTTCTAGTAATGATACAAAGACTGAAAATGAACATGGAACGACAAATAATAAAAGAAACATGATCAGGCTAGTAGTCATGATGAAATCAACATTATCATAACAATAGCCATAATAGTAGTAGTACTTGCAAAACAAGAAAAACCCTAAACCCTAAACCCTACTATTGACAGTGAAATTATTGGCCGAAGCTGCGCCCTGGCCACGGACCATGGCAGCGGGACAGGGAAGGTCGAAGAGTTCGTCCATGGGCCGGAACCTGACGATTAGAATTTAGGATTTAGGATTTAGGGTTTAGGGTTTAGGGGTTAGGGGCTTAGGGTTTAGGGTTTAGATGTAGCATTTAGGGTTCAGGGCCTAGGATTTAGGGGTTCGGGGTTTGACGTGTGTCGGCTCTTTCTGCCCGCTTCGGAGTTTAGGATTTAGGGTTTGCAGTGTAGGATTTAGGTACTGGGGTTTAGGTTTTACGCTTTGGGGTGTAGGAGTGACTGCGGTGTAGGGTTTAGGCTTAGGGGTGTAAGATTTGGGGTGCTTGGGGCTTAGGGTTCGGGGCGTGTGGTTTTTCGGGATTTAGACCACGGCCACAGTGCTTGAAAACCGGGAATGTTCATGTGGAACAGGGCGTAGCTCCGGCCTGTTCTGTATGCCGTATAGTGTGTGTAAAAATTTGTGTGTATGTGCGTATATATATATATGTACAGAAAGCATCACACTCTCTATATATATATATACATATACATATATACATATATGTCTTCACATGTATTTATATATTTATCGGGTTAACTGTTTGTTTATCACTTATATATATATATATATTTGCTTGTTCATTGACGTTGAAGTTTAATCTTCATATACTCGATAACTGATATATTGCTAAATTCATGTATTTACGTATTTGATATGTGTTTGTAGTTACGCACATGTAGCAGTAGCATCTCTCTCACGATTATGTGTATGTGTACACATGATACAAGCACCATAATTTTTTCATGTTCTACGTTAGTTCATTCATCTCATTCAACACAATGGAATCGCACTTTTGGACAAAGGCCGGGATGCGGGATGATGTCCAAATCCAGGAGCAAGACCTTCCTCAGATTTGGCCAGATCGCAACCCCTAAACCCGTAAACCCTAAAGCCCTAAACCTGTAAACCCTAAACGGGAACTCCGACTTGCAGCTTCGAGCCTGCCATTGACTGGGCTGAAGAAAGGTGTTATGAAGGTTTCAGGGGTTGTTGGTTTTCGCCAACCTAAGCGACACAAGCTCACTGCCACGCCCAAGCCTGACCCCAGCTGGGGTGAGATGGGTTGGCATACGGCAAGGAGTGGCAGGGTGGGACCTACCTACGGGACCGTGCGGCCATTATACTGTTCTGTAATTATAAATAATGAGGAACCCCCCAAAAAATAGTAGTGGTAATTATTCGGGCCCTACATATGACGCTGTTGAATCCTCAAGTTACAAGTCGCCCAAGCGGCTCAAAGTCTGTCAGGTTCCACGCGGCCAGTTTTGTGAAGACGCCATCAAAGATATCTCAGCTTGCAGCATTGCGGGCGCTGAAAGGGGCTTTGTGGAATTTGTACTGAGGGTTTTCAGAAGCATTCTATGGAAAACACCTTAGGGGTCTATACGTGTGCAATGATTTTTTCATGGATTAGGCTGCTATGAAGGCTCTGTGAAAATTTCATGGTTTTATCAGGGAAGGACCAAAAGAGCTCTAGAAGCCCTTTTGAAAGGCTTCAGTTTTTTTTTACACGGGTGCTACCAGGTTTTTGCAAAAAGATAAGAATAAACCACCTATTCTGACTAATAAGGCGCCTATGCTAAAAAAAACCTTCCCGAACCCTTTCCTAAACCCTAAACTTCCTCAAACTGTAAACCCTTATAGCAGCCCTTATAGAACCCTTTCGGTGAACCCTTGAAGGGAAGTCATCTCCGTTAGCACCAAGGAGAACTATAGAGCACACCCCCCCCTGTCAGGAACTTTTAGGGATCTTTGTCCTGACGGGAAACGGTTTAGTGCTTGGGGTTTTAAGTTTTAGTGCTTTGGGTTTAGGGTTTAGGGCTTAGGGCTTAGGGTTTACGGTGTAGGGTTCAGGGGAACCATGGCAAAACCTTCAAAGAAGCGATGCTACTTTGAATCCGTCTTCTCCTCTTGCCCGCATGAAGAGCTTTGGCGCAACAGGGCGTCTCCCAACATTAGGGGGACATGTTTTTCGCGGTCCCTATACCAAGGACCCTACGATTTAGGATCAACTTGAGGGGCAATCTCTGGTCAACTCCCACAAACAAGAACACACCTGAAATTGAGCAGGGAGTCTCCCCTTGCTGACATAGAGATCCTCCACTCCATCGATATAGTTCACCTGACGCCGGCTGTCGGGGCTTAGGAGGGTTGAAGCCTGAAGCCAAATCTTTTGGTGCGATGACAGTGCGTTCTGTTGACATGCTTTTGAACTTTAGATGAGATTCAGAGTAGCATTAGAAACAATGACGCAGTGCCTCTCACTCATTGCGACAGCTTGCGTTCCAAGGGGAGCTTGCGCTGGCTATTCTTCTCAAATGTCAAAGGTACTCACCGCAATATTCAAAACAATCCTTCATCACTTAATGAACCCTTAACCCTAGACCGCCAACCCTGAACCCTAAACCCTAAACCCGAAACCCTAAACTCTAAACCCTAAACCCCTAAACCCTTACACTCCTAAACCCTAAACCCCTAAACCCCTTTATCCCCTAAACCCTTACACTCCTAAACCCTGAACCCCTTTATCCCCTAAACCCTTACACTCCTAAACCCTAAACCCTAAAACCTGAACCCTAACACCTGAAGGAGAGCAGTGCCTCCTTGAGCTGCCACAGGCCATCCTGCGAAAACGCCGCGAGGTAGTTCGGTGGCACGTCGTCCGTGTGCCTGGGCTCTTAGAGCAGGGCATTTAGGGTTTAGACTTTAGGGTTTAGGGTTTAGGGTTCAGGGTTTAGGGTTTAGGGTTTAGGGTTTAGAGTTTAGGGTTTAGGGTTTAGAGTTTAGGTATCTACTTATCTTATCCTTGCACTCCTCTGCTCCAGGTATCTACGGTATCTACTTTAGGGTCCAAGGTCCAGGGCTTAGGCTCGAAAGTCTCTACTACACATCCGGTACTTTGAACAAGTTACGAAAGTTACGAACAACGTAACTACTCTGTGTACCATATCTCTATATATGCGGAATAAGTAGCTCCAACTACACGACTTGACTTTGCCCAGCTGCAGCATCACCCGCTCGATGTCGGGAGAGAGCTCACGCAGGCGCACGCCAAGAACCACGGCACCTTGGTACTTAGTGCTAAGACTTCGAGGATCGCGGGACGCAGTAGGCAGGTAGTGCTTAAGCTTGTGAGTACTGCGACCTGTCTTCTCAGTCCACTGGCCACCGGGTTAGCGTTTAGTAGGAAGTTTAGGTTTGGGGCTTAGGGGCATTAGGATGTAAACAGATATGAATGGAGAGACCGTTTTTGAAGCCTCTCAGTCGGCCATCAGATGCTCCCGCAACCAGTGGGACATACGGTCTCTTTTTTGGACATTGTATGTGTATACATACATACATACATGCATACGTACGTACATACGTACATATATATAT